ACTTCATTCTCTAACTGAATGAAGTTTGAAAAAGACAAAATACATAAAGGCAGTCGTGCGCAGAAAATTGGTTAGATCAGTTGAATTTTCTACAAAGTTTGGAAATACTTGAGGAAGTTTCGAGTGAATTGAAATATTGACATATTTCAAGTCACTGTTTTGAGAAGTGATATTGGATTTGATAATTATTCGCGGTTTGATTCAGTTTAGATGATTGAGAGAACATTTTCGAATTCCTGGTAAGAGTTTGGAACCGTTTTTGGGAAAAAGTGGCTTTTGTCGGAGACTTCAGGAGAGTCCATCTACGATTAGTTAGTTAGCGTATCTTAAAAATTCTAATCTATAGTGTATATGTTATTGCATGCTTATGTGTTTTACATTTTCGAATTGGTACCTAGGGTATTGCTGAAAGTCTATTGTATATCTGCGAATTGGGTTCCCTATTTCATTATCATATATCATAAGTAGTATATAGGGATCGCTAATCCAGACTCGACGGTCATTTATTACATTAGTTTACTAATCAACCTTTTCAATAGATATGTATTTTGGAAATAATTAGATTTTCGGCATCATTAAAATTAGTAATTGAGCTATTACAAGTACTTGGGTTCCATCGAATTGAGAAACGCAATTTAAATATTTGGGTTTGAAAACATTTGCCATTTCTGAAGAGTGATTGGTTCTTTAATTTGGGTTGGAATTAGTTGAAGACAATGATTGAAAAATATTTTATAGCGACATAAAATCAGAGTTTCAAGAATTAAAGCAGTATTGTGTCCATCGCCTTCTTAACCACTGGTTTAGCAATTTTGTCTTCTCCAAGTGTTTCTTCCTTGCAGAAGAGGACGATGAAGGTTCTCTTCTCGAAAACAGCCTCGTTACTTATTTCCTGCAGGTGTTAGATTATCTGGGTTTCCCGAAGTTCTAGAAGTCTCTCTGTTTTCAACATCAACTTATTCTGTTCACAAAGTTTCGATTGCCAATTAATCGTTGAAACTAAAATCAATCGCACGATATTCGTAATTTTGACAATCCTACTGTTGACTGCGCCAATTAACTATCGATAGCACTCGTTTAAAAAATACATTTAGTGTTACAAAAGTCCAAAATTATAGAAATATAAAATATTTGAAATCATACGTGTTGTTACTTTGAAGAATGAAATCTGATAGACTCGGGTTGTGAAGCTTCGAATATGTCTGCTTGTCAGCATCTGGAACAGGGTGGTGATACTGCTAGATCAGCGGAATTGTCCTAGGTGGTGAGATGATTCACGTTAAAAGTAGGACCTCAGTAATCTTCAGATTGCACGAGTTTCAACTTTTGAGTGTTTTTCTTCGTATGGAGACAACCAAGACTATTTTTCCCAAGGACAATTCGTTGGAATCCTGAGGGGGCGTATGAGTAATGAACAATTTAAAAACTTGTGTTGGTGCTATGTGGTCATTACACCGTCGCACATTGCCAAAAAGTCAAAAATATTTCTACGATTTCAAAAATTCACGTTAGCCGTCCTACGTAATGGAAGTGACGATTGAGCGCTGAGGAACGATGTTCCTGTTTTGCAAATGATTTTCATAGGTGTGTAATAAATGACCGTCGGGTCTGAATTGGCGATCTCTAAATACTACTAATGATATATAATAATAATCGTAATTATACTCGCACAAGAAAAATACACCCCTCTGTATATGGGATCGTTCAGTCGAAGGTATTTATTTTTTAATTTAGTTCGGTAGCGCGAGAGTTGCTGCCACCAGATCAGAAAAAGTTTGAAATCCGTCCTGATCACACGGATTGAGAATTAGTGGGCGACTTGGTCAACAGGTGAATTTTTACCTTTCTACCTTTATAGAGCAATGGCTTGATTATGCCAACCATTATATCCTCAGAGACTGGATTCGGCCACGACTTGAATGCGTGGTCTTTTAGGGGTTTGAGGAAATGAAATAATATTAGCAGAGTTTTCACAAACCAACTTCATTGATGAATAAAGTCGGCGGAATAATCGGATCAACAATTGATAAAATGAAATTAACAAAATTGATACTGGAGTTTGATCTACGCGAAATAATATCGAAACTATTCTTTAATAATATGTTTTACTGAACTTTATTTGAATTGTGTGCAATATGAAAGAAAAAGAAATATATAATTGTAACCATGTGAAAAATATGAATAAACTACTAAAACAAAATGACAGGATTATTCCTCTGGAAATTGAAATAACATCACCCAGGACATATGTATGCCTTGCCTGAATTCTACTAGATCTGCTGGAAATCAAAACGAAATACAACTCTGAGAAACTTTTAAGAGACCCACTTAATCGCTCCTCCCTGTATAACATAGGAAAATGCTATGACCTAATAATGAAGAAGGAAACCCGATTCGTAGCTATATGATAAATTTTCAACAATACCCTAGGTGCCAATTCGAAAATATAAAACACATACGCATGCAATAACATATACAATATATATCAGGATTGTTTTAAACACGCTCACCAAATTAACGTAGATGGACTCTCCTGAAGTATTCAACAAAAGCCACTCTTTCCCCAAAAACTTTCCCAAACTCTTTCCAGGAACTCGAAAATGTTCTCTAAATCAACTAAATTGAATCAAACCGTGAATACTTTCAAAACCCAATATCACTTCTCTAATCAGTGACTTATGAAATATTTCAATTCACTCAAAAATTCCTCTAGAATTTCCAAACTTTGTGGGAAATTCAACTGAACTAGACAGTTCTCCGCGCACGACTCTCTTTACCTCAATTCAACTAAACTGCGAATATTTATGAATCCCGAAACACCTCGCAAAACGGTGACCTGATCTACCTCGTATTTCAGTACCTCCAGAATTCACTCAAAACTTCGTAGGAAGCCCAATCGACCTACTTATGAGTTCGTACGCTCCCGACTTTTTACCTCAAGTCAGCTAGCCAGCGAATAACACCCAAATATCGAGATCACTTTTTGAAACCGTATTTCACTCTATTCGAGTATTTCCCAAAACTGCAGGAAATTCAACTGTCCTACTTCTGACTTCGTACGCTTCTGACTTTTTACCTCAAGTCAGCTAGCCAAATAAACCGCGAATATTCCTCACTACTGGAATCCCCTCGCGACCCAATTTCTCAAAACACCGAGCACCTCAGTTTTTTCAATAGATTTCCCAGCAACCTCCCCAAAGGGGGACAACAGCCCCGGGCAAAAGGCCCCAAAAGACCCTGGGGTCAGCGCACGACTGCCTTCATTCTTTCCCAATAACTTTCCACCTTAACTCTGTTAGGGGATGTAATTCAAATAATCTCATAAAAATTCCCACCAATCAGAATGTCTGAAATTGTTTCCAAGACTGGTACTCTTAACGTCCTCTACATGTCCAGCGAATAAGTCGTGAGCTTGTCGTGAGCCGGCTACTAATATATAGATGTCACTGCAAGGGTTATTTTGATATTTTCTATGTCTCGAATAATGTAGATTATCCCAGACATCATGTCGTTAAAATTAAAGCTGAACAATCATAAAATAAATTTTGATATTTATTATACTTTTAAATACTTTTTGACAGTTATTCTAAATGGGGTACACAGACTGAATAATTTCGACCCTTAACGTCATGATAATGAAATGAATGAAGAGGTTGAATGTTCTGAAATATCAGATTTCTTAAACATCGAGCAGTTAATTTTAACGACTTTTCCTTTGATTGGCTTGGCTCTGGTTGACCTAAAATTATTTCTGAAAGCTGATAAAGGTTCCCTTCTTCTACAAGAACCCATATGTTTTAGTAATCAATAGTTAACGAAAAATAATATACACAACTTATTACAGGTGTTTAACACCAAATTATGAAATTAGTTACCTTCAAGCTTTTTTTCCGCATGCTTATTGTTGTTTACAAAGCAATCGTAGAGAGGTGTTCTCAATAGTTGAGTTCTCAACAAAATTTTAATTCAATTTAATTCACTATATTTTTCAGTTGCATAAATGCCATTTGTAACAAGGAATTAATTGTTATTTTTAACTTGCACTGTTCCAAATGGATTGTTTTCTTTTCATGTATCTTTGCATATCATTATTATTTTCGCAGGTAAGAATTGAAGGTACCGTAGAAAGAGTTTCCTGCTGCAAGTCAGACGAACTCTTCCGAGAAAGTTCGTATGATACTCAGATTGGAACCCTCCTCTGTGAACAGAGTACTCCCATCGAAAGCCGATCTGCATTATTATGTAAAACTAATAAGATGAAGAAGCACTATCCTGAAGGAAAAGTTCCACGTTCTCCCCTTTGGTTAGTTTTCAATATTATAATAGGTTTCCGCGGTCAGTAATTCTATATAGGTACTGTTGTCCGGGTTGAACCGCGTCTGTAATTTTCATCGTTTCGGCTCCCGCTTTGGAGCCATTTTCAAGAATCACTTAGATTTGTACTTACACGACTCGAGGAGGAGGTCGTAATTTCCCTTGTCTCCAAGTCTCGTTACTAGTTCTATGTTTGCTGTATTCCACTCTAAGTGGAGGTTCGAATTTTTTCTGTCGAAACTGTTCAACCTAGTCGAGATTTATGTCTGGGGGACCCGACCTGCAAAATGTATTTGAAACTTTTTGAGAATTGTGAAATTTTTGGGTGGGGACTCGAAATTTTTCTTGTCGAAAATAAATAATCTGGTCGAAATTCATGACTGGGAGACCCGACTTGCAAGAATTTCTGCCGACCTGCAAAATGCATTTTCAATTTTTTGAGAATTGTGAAACTTTTTGGTAGTTGTTGGAAAATTTTTCTGTAGAAAATGATTAAACTGGTCAAGATTCATGTCTGGGAGACCCGACCAGCAAGAATTTCTGTCCTACAAAATAATGAGAAAAATTTGCTGACCTGCAAAATGGTTACACCCATGAAATTGCGAGTGAAAAGGACGTATCCTTCTCCACTTCTATCATTTTTCAAATAATTGCGAGGGTGATTTTTGAATCAGATTATGTCAATTCGTACGTGAAGTTTATCGTTAGCTTTTTTTTTTGTATGCACAAGTTAGATTAAAATACTTTTTAGGGGTGGTTATATAATCAGACCACACACCATCGAGTTTTGGCAAGGTCAAAATGATAGCCTTCACGACAGGATCAGATTTAGACGACCCAAAGAAAAGGAACCAGATGGAGTTTTGACACATGAAGGAGAAAATGGATGGGTGTATGAGAGACTATGTCCACCCTGAAAATAATTTAATAATGGCATTCTACCTAGTCGGAAGTCAACCCAATTCATTCTGTGAATTTTGTATCCTATTTTGGTGATCTAGTGAATCATGTAACCCTTTATAAATTTATTACAGTAGTAATATTGACGACACGTGAATTTATTTCAATTTTTGATGCATTTTTCTACTATCTGACTGGTAGTGAAACAGATGACTGAAAAATTATTTCGAGTGTTTCAAGAAACGGGGATATACGTATCACATAATTTTTCAAGTAACGTCCTTATAAACCTAACTCATTCATAAACTTTTGATTATGAATATATATATTTAGCAAGCGTTATTTTATTTAACTATCAGTATCTGAAAGGTTACTAGGAAAAAAATGAAATCTACAACAAAGGCAACGTTTTTAGATCATTTTTTATAATCACCCAGAATGTTGTTTATACTCTTGAGGTGCAGAACGACTATATACAATTTTTTCATACAATATTTGTACCTACAGAATATCTAACCTTTGGCAGAATTCTTTTGAATAGATAGATATAACTTCTAACTTGTACTTGATCTTCAATGAGGTATCCCTTCAGTCAACTGTTAATCTATTAAGGATATGAATAATAATATGTCAAAAGTTACCCCCAAGAAAAATTAATTGAAGACATTTTGAAAAATTTTGAAATACAGTTGTGGAATACATTAATTTAATGACATTTCATGTTTTGAAAAACAGCCCTTATTCAAAACTTATGGATAGTTACAAATCGTATCGGTGTGTATTCCACAACTTTATTTCAGAATTTTTCAAAATGTCTTCAATTAATTTTTCTTGGGGGTAACTTTTGACATATTATTATTCATATCCTTAATAGATTAACAGTTGACTGAAGGGGATGCCTCAGTAAAGATCAAGTACAAGTTAGAAATTATATCTATCTATTCAAAAGAATTCTGCCAGGGGTACAAATCTTGTAAAAAAAATGCATTTCATCGAGAGGGTTATAATGAATCATTTGAGTATTGCAAAGTTTTCCTATCTCGTTCAATTTTTGACAAACAGAAATTTATATATATTGACGAAATAAGGGCGGGACCACCCTCTTATTATTAATCAATATGAATGGTATTTATTTTCATGATATTGGTGTTGTTTCCTTTATGTTCTCATAAAAGATTTTCGTGGATTTCGATTTTCTCATCAGAAATTGACCTGAGCAGGAATTTCACATTAGCGGTTGAACCCTCTTTAGTCTATTAACTATTATAATGTGCATTCTATACAGAGAAACATTTTTCATTATTTGACATATGAAATGTCTACCAATCTCGTCATGTTTTTGGTGGAGAGATATCAATTACCCACCAGTAGAAATTATAATAACTTGTAGAAATAGGGGTAAGATCACCCTTTCTAGGTTTATGCAGCCTAATTACCACTCAATTTTCACTAAAGCTGTCATTTTGCATTATTTTGTGTTTTAAATCCAAGTATATCTCAACAATTGTTTGCCAAACTCTTTTTTGAAGGTATTTCTATGAAGGGTAGTGACTCGCCTTTTTAGGGTAATCTTTGATATGAATCCCAATATGCGTCATACAATCATGCATTTCTACATCCAAAAGTCATTGTGAAGTAGACATATTTCGAGAAACTATCATTATGAGCATTATTCATCTAGTCAACTGTAAAATTGAAGGAATCGGATTTAAATCTAAAGCTAACTTCGGCCACATCATTAAATATGGAAATTTGAATAAGGGTAACTCCTGATTTACTTTTGAAAACTCATTCAAACATATAGATAGAACATAATTCTGGTTAAAAAATATTTTTAATAGTAGCTATTCTATTTTAAACACCTTCACTTGTTTTTTGGAGATATTGTTCTTCTTTGAAGCCGGACATGCCACTTTTCCTTAATCAGTGAATTCAGCGAAATATGGGTTGCCTACTAGTGAGGTTATGTGTTTACAATCATAACTCTGAATGTCGTGATTTTCAAGGTTATCTTTTCTATCTGCTTACATGTTGTGAACATTGTTCAGTGTTTGATAAATTCAGAATATAAACGTTTTGTTGCAGAAATATCTTAATAGTATATTGCTATTTCACAAATATGGATGTTAGTGGTGAGGTCCAAAGTGAAAACTTACTATACAGAAAAAAAAACATGTTTTTTTTCCAGGAATGAGAGCAGATTATCATAGCAAACAGGACCTATTTCTAGAAGAAAATATTCAAATAAAAGAACCTTTAGACTTGTTTGATAAATGGTTTAAAATAATAAAAAATGATTCAAGGACAATTGAAGCCAATGCTATGTGTTTATCAACTGCTACAAGGTAAGTACAAAATTGCTCAAGTATATTTTTTGGGAAAAAAAACCAATGAAACGACTCTTCTTTTTGTTAACTCTATTTAGCAATTAGTTATATTTAAAGAAAAAAATGTTGAAATCAATTTCTTGCCCGGACAACACTTATATTACATCTGCCACACATTTAAAACAATAATCTTCTTTCAGCATATAATTATAAAATATAAAAACATTTTTTTACCACTTCACAGTTGCTTTTCTATGAGAAATCTTAAGAAGTCCTCAGGATACCTAAACATATAATCCCAGATTTCTATCTCTTATAACATTATGTGCTCATTTCAAACTCATAAGAAAATCAATACTAATGGAACAAAAAATATTATATAATTACTACATGTCATTTAGTCACTGATGTCATATGTATTTTGAGATGAGATGTTCTTCATCATCTTTTCGGTAAGCATTCGTTAGGTCATTTTAAGAAAAAAGTTCCTATGAACATATGCCTGGAGTTGCTTCGTTTCTAAGATAAGTAAAAAAAAACAGTATTTATAAAATATCATAAATATCCTTACACCATTTTGGTTGGGATTTGCTACAGTTATTTGAAGTAATAAGATATTTATTTAGCCTGAACTAGATTGAAATTATTACATCCAGTGGCGTCTCAGTGGGCATAGCTTCTTCTAGTTCAGGCATTGTCACAGTTTCTGGTCTTTCACCACCTGCAGGTTTATTAACTCTCAGTTTCACATAATCTTGCACATAGCTTTCTAAGTGTTTTAGCACGTGGCATTACTCTGTTAAGATATCTGTTGTGGAAAATTCTTCCTGCTTATTCCGCATTTCTATTTGCTAATACATAAATAAAGTGCATGTCTGCCATTTCAGAGTTAGTAAAATTATTTATGTTCTTTTATGCTAATTGACAACTCTTACTTTCACTGATATGACAACACTATCACTGTCAGCTGGTCTCCAAAGTAGGTTTTCATGATATGCAGTGGCTTCAATTTTTTTCTCGAAAACGAAACTAGATATAAAGATAACACAGGCGACGAAAAAGTTTAGTTGATTAATCTAAAAAATAAAAAACTACAAGTCAGTGGCGTACTTTTATTCCTCAATATTGTTGGCTGTGGTGCCCACTGAGACTCCACTGGACCTAATAATTTCAATCTAGTTAGAGCAAAATAAGCGCCGAATTACTTCAAATAACTGTAGCAAATTTCAACCAAATCGGTGTGATATTTTATAAATACCGTTTTTATTTTTCAATTCCAATCCTTTGTATCACAAAAAGAAGCAACTCCGCACATGTGTTCATCAGAACTTTTTTTCTTAAATCAACCTAAGGAATCACCCTCTGAAGTTTTGTACCGTAGTTAGCAAACACCCTGTATATTCACTCACCAGTCCAATGTTCAAACTTTAAACGAATTTGACAAAAAAAAGGAAAATATCTCTAAACAAGTCCATCAGTTAATAATGGTTTTGAGTTGTAACATTCAATATTTCAGAATTAAGAACATTTATTAAGTTTTGGAATTTAGCGACATGGATTATTTGCTTTATTTAGTACAAAATGCATTAAATGAACAGTTGTTATCTGAATGTCACAATAAAATGTATTTTTAATACATTATAATGGATTTTAATCAAGTATCAACACTCCAACTGATGAAACTACCGTAAACACTTTTTATTTGGTTAAACCGGCTCGCTTTTAGAAGTAAACTTGATAATGTAAATATTTTTTGTTTTTTTTTAGGAGTGGTATCCCTTCAGCAAGATATGTTTTACTCAAAGGCTACAGCAAAAATGGTTTCATTTTCTTTACTCACTATACCAGCAGAAAAGGGCAGGAATTGGTAAGAACTACTCGAAGGTATTCAAAATCCATAGTAATTTCTGAATGTTTTCAGGAAGAAAATCCAAATGCAGCACTAACTTTTTATTGGGAGCACTACAGTAGATCAGTATGAAAACCTAGTAAATGAAATGAATAGCACATGATAAACTTTGTATTTTCAGGTGAGAATAGAAGGTGTAGTTGAAAAACTACCCTTTTCACAGGCAGATGAATATTTTAGTAAACGTCCTTATCAAAGTCAAATAGGTGCTCTTTGTAGCAATCAAAGCAAACCAGTTGCTGGACGTCAAATACTAGCATGGAAAGAAAAAGAACTTAAGAATACATATGCTGAAGGAAAAGTTCCCCGACCGCCGCAATGGTATTTACCTAAAACTTTTTTGAAGAAATTCTGTCTTATCGATATTGCAATAAAGTATATTTTTAAATATTTTTTAGGGGTGGCTACATAGTAAAACCCTCTTCTTTTGAATTTTGGCAGGGGCAAACTGATAGAATACATGATAGAATAAGATTTCGCAAACCATTCAACAATGAGCCAGATGGAGTTTTAACACACCAAGCAGAAGACGGATGGATTTACGAAAGATTAAATCCTTGAAAAAAATTATAAAAATATAATATATTGAAATTTTACAATCTAAAGAAATTGTATTTTTAATATCTCTCTTTTCACTCCTTCCATACATTTCCAGCATGAAGTGTACTTGAATATTTTATGCTTGTCTATAAAATCTTGAAATAAAAACAAGCCACCTCCAACTCCAAAATAAAATGATTTTGCAGCTAAAAATCTGATATTTTAAGGAAAAAAGACTGTAAATTTTATATGTAGAGTTTTTTACATATTCCAAAAGAATCGGAAGTACATAGAAAAACCTCAGAGGCAATAAATACTCATGTAAAAAATATAGAAACTAATTCAAAGGATACATTACACCTGTCTTCTTCAACAGTTTTTCGAACACTTTGTGTAGCTTCGGATAAGATTCTGTATTATAAATGGTTTCGGATGTAAATATGTAATCAAATTTATTTTGTTCATCTCCTGAAGGCTCGTCAACTGTGTCAACAAAAAAATCCCAGTCACCAGAGTAAAACTTGCAGTTCTGTATTCTATCTCTAGAATTCAGTAAAACGTTGGGAATAGTTAGGAACTGAATAACATCTGAATTCTACAAAAATATCACATTTAATAAGGGCTCGAAACAGTTGAATCAGATACTTACGTAGTCTTGAAACCAGCAGTTGGCTCCCTTTAGGTAAAGCGTAATACCTATAATTCCAGCACCACACCCCAAATCCAGTACTTTTTTGTTAGTGAAATCGTTATCACATTCATTAATATATGAAAACAGATCATATGTGCACTCCCAAATTTTCAAACCACCTGTTTATGTTTTTTCTATTAAAATGAATGTAAGAAATAACTAACTTATCTAAAATACAATATTCAAATACCTTCATATACAGCTGGAACAAGATCCGAATGATTTCGTTCAGCTTCTAGAACTGAATTTTCGTTCAAGTTTTCAGCATTGTTCAACATTTTCAAGATTTCCTTTCTTCGAAAATATTTGATTTCACTACCATTTGAAAATATGCTGTCAGTGTGAACGTGTTGAAAAATGTCTTCCACACATTTATTACCTGCTTCATATAAAATCTCTTTACATTTCTTCCATAACTTTTCTCTATTGGCTTTCTCTGTTGGGTAATTAGATGTTAAAGAAGGAGGAATAAGGTGTAAAGGTGACCTAGTGAATAAATGCTTGTGTTTTTAAATAGTTTTTTTAGTGAAAAAGAAGGCTGAAAAGTTGCCCTTTTCTGAACTTTGAAGGGCCGTAACTTTTTAAATAAGGGAGAGCGCCGCTTTTTTCTTTCGGATTCGTAATCTACGCATCAAAATACGTAAGTACAGTTGAAAATTTTTTCAAAATCGCCGGGTGTCCACATAACGAAAATTTACCCAAAAATTGGCATTTGGCATCCAACGAAGAAGATTGCTGTGCACCATATCGAGAGGCTGTTTGATGTTTTTGGCAGTTGTGTCACGCCCAGACATAATGTGCTGTCAGCCAAGTGAGTAGATTCCTGCAGTGTCGGGTTAAGCCAGCGCGGGGCCTGTAGCAAATTCTGTCAAGAGGCCCTTGGTTTGCTATAAGTTCTCAAGTTAAGGGTATTAAATAAAACAAAACTGTTACAAATGAACTATTCTGGATTTAATATGGGAAAATTCAGAGATGACACTTTCATATATCGACTTCTTTGGGCAAATCATATTGTATATTCATCAAAGTGCTATGATTAGAACGTTCTTGGCTTATCGTGTTTCAACTTAATGTTGAACAATAACGTTCTCCACTGCAGTTAGTGATCATGAGAGACAAGTAAATACGGAAGGCAATTTCTACGTTTGAGAAACATAATTCTAAGGAGTTATTTGATGAAAGTTTATAAAACTGCAGTTCCAGAAGCTCCTGTTTCTTACTGTCAATATAGTAGGCAGATCTGTTTTTAGCAGTTCAGCGAACTGCACTAATTCGTCGCCTAGCTTGTTCTCCAAATCGTTTTCGCAAGCACTGACCATGTTTGAGGCGTTTTCCAAAATCTCTTCTGTTGTAAGGGATTTTAGCTGTCGAAATACCCCAAAACCACCAGAAATGTTATGATATGCTTCCATACGTTCAGACAAAGCAGACAGTACTTATTAATAATGACAATAAACACATGAATTTCAAAACGTTGTTCAGGTGTTTCATTTTCACCAAAGTCGTCGACTGGAGTAGAGCCGGTGTAATGGTCGTACTCTGTATTCCGCTTGCATCGTCTTGAAGTCTGTTGCTGATATTCTTCATAGCCGGTCAGATCTTTGGCTTTTGCCTCCATATCTGGAAATATGGATCGCATTGCTCGGACGTAGCTAGTACACGAAACAATATCAAAACTCACATCTGAAGTGAATTCAAATTTTTTTTATGTTGTGCCAAACGTAAATGTACAGCATTTCATTATTGTTTAATCGTTGATAGAATCCTATTTCATTTGATCGTGTTGTTGCGACTAGCTCATTCGATGACAATATTACGGAATTTCCCTATTAGTTTTGCAGTGCTGCCAACTTGCGTATAGTGCAGTGCAAGTAGAACAACGCATAACTTTTGGTGTGGCCAGCGCTTAATTTTAAATTATTGTTGTATATTTTGATACCAACGTTTCTCGTGGTAGGTACTATACCTACAGTGAAACATCTTGATATAAATTAATTGTCAAAGTACCTACCGTCACTAGCACTCAATAATCTCGAAACATGATCGATATGATAATTTGAAGAATGAAATCTGACTTACTCGGGATGCGAAGCTTCGAAGATCTCTGCTCCTGTGAGAATTGTTGTGTCAGCATCTGGAACTGAGTGTTGGTACTGCTCGATTCAACTATCCGGCATAGTGGGGTAATTGAACAGTAGAAAGATCGGTTTCTTCATTCATTACTTGCAGTCGGTTCGCTTCTTGACCTAGCTTCTTATTGGTGCAAAATCGAAGTAAATTTTCTCTATACAAGAAGTAAACTGTCATTGATATGATCGTTAAGTAAATTACTAAAGTTCATATACTCCGTTATTGTGAAGTCCGCCTTGGTTGAATGTTATTTCAGGTTCGTTTTCAATTAGCTGAATTTTCAGGTTTTGGAGTTCTTTCAGGTCAACGCTGTCCCATTGAATGCTCATATTCACACTTTTTGGAGGGTTGCGATCTTGTTACAATATTATTTGAATGCTGTTGATTACCATTTCTTTTTGTTTTACAAAAACCGGTTTTTGTAAAACCCTTTATAGTGAAAATCATTATAATTAGTTTTCTAATATGGATTTTCATCAAGTATCGGCCAGTTCTATTCAATACCTATCACTTTTTGCTAAATGGAAAATTATTTTTTCATTGGATGCAGAATTTCACTCNATAAAAATAAAACACAAGTGGATATTACACTAAATATAGGTGATCATATAATTGAAAACCGTAATACAATCATATCTGAATTTGATAATTTTTTAATTCAAGCTCCCATTGATTTGGTAAGTCAAATCCCTTTCAATACAAACTTTTATTTTAAAAGTGCCTTCAATCCCTTTACTTTATTTTTGAATCATTTCACTGAGAGTGATTAACAAACTTAAAAATAAAAAATCCAGATGACATTCCAATGTTTATATTAAAAAGAGTTCTTCCTTTATTATTATTATTACGCCTTGGTCAAAGACAAAACGTACTGGTTCAAGTTTGACGATAGTCGTGTCACTAAGTGGCAATGTATTGAATTTATTGGAGCCTCTGGAGACACCCTACATTTTGTTTTATGAGAGAGAGAGCATTGGCAGATCAAGATCTTCAGATGATGTGGTGCTGCAGGTTTTTCCAGGTTTTCCTGCAGATGAAAAAGCAAATGCGCCACTGGAATCAATAAAGTCGCCCCGGAGCGCCAAATAATTTTTGGTGTTGTTATATAATTCCATGATTTGTATTTTGGAAGTGTTATTATTTCTACCTATTCAATATAAGTTGTAAAATACAACCATTAACATATTTAATCAATGTATTAATGCAAGTAAGTGTCTGGCAGTACTTCTGTGTGACTTGAGCCGTGCACTGTGTCAATCATGAGAAACTGGCTTCAAGATTGAAATATTATGATATAAGACGTGTTTCACTCAGTTGGATAAATTCATTTCTAGAACTGGGATCAATTTATGTCATTGCAAATGATGAGGATTTAATGATTGAACACATTTTTTTTCTCATTTTTGTTAAGGAAACATGATATTTTATCCATTTCAACCTGCGAAGTTTTGACTTCCGAGTATTGATGTTCATAAGAATTCAGCTGGTTAATAGAAAAACAGATTTTTCCTACATAGAATCGATCTTTATGAAATCAAGATTGAGTATCCTGCAAACAGTCATTACAAAAAGCTGGATCTCCTAGAGATATATTAATTTATTTTGAATTCATCTTACTTTGAAATTTCTTTCTTGAAGTTATTGATCAAGAAGTTTAATGTTGAAACTGTTTTTGTTATAACTTTTGAACCTCTATATTTTTACCTATAAAACACCATTTTTGAAAAAGGATTTTTGAAAATGAATCAAATTTCGAATCAGATATTGAACGTCCAGTTGAAATGATTATGAGAAATTTATTTTGGAATTTCAACACAGTTTTATAAGAAAAAGACACTCCATATGGGTTTTCAATGAAAATGAAATACACCACAACGGAGACCAAAATGGACCAAAAATTTAAATTTTCAAACACTTTCTACAAAGCAAGTAGAGTTCTTTCTGACCAATAAGATGAAAGAATGTAACCTCCTAACTTGTTACAAAAAATGTGTGTTCTCGAAATATACCTAATTTTTAGTTTTGTTGAAAATCGTTGAAAAAGTGTTGGTATTGTTAAAAAAAAAGAATTATCTGAATGTCTGAAATTACCAACTCAGTTAACATCACATCATGATGACCATTTAAATTATTATTTTTACAAAGCATCATCCCAAGTATTTTCAATGAGAAATTTAAAGGAAACTACACATGATGAGATTTTCACAAGACATTTTACAAAATGTCCACAAGTGTTTCACTTAACAATAGCTTATTCAAGCATGTTCAATATCAACGCCTGATGAAGATATTGTTTAGTGAAAAACATGTCGCAGTTTTGTATACCTTGGAAAATCTAACAATGAAGTGTAATTCAAATATGGTAATGATGGATTTTTACCTAGTATCAACCAGTTTCATCAAATAAATAAAGGAAACAAATATCAGTATCTGTTAACTATTGGTCTTCAATAGATATAGTTGAATTAGTCAAAATAATGAATATAAAATTATTTCTTGATTTTTTTTATCAATGATAACATCAATGCAAAAATATCAGTATATTTACAAGTGATCAAATGAATTATCAAATGAAAGTTAAAACATTCAACCGTAAAACTTACCAAATTAGAATCCTCTACAAGCTTTCTTATATGAGGCTTCACTTGTTCTATCAGGTCTACCAGGTGCTTATTTGTGGAAACAGCTCCAGTTGGTAAAACCATAACTTTGGTTCCATCTTGAGATAAACGGTTATCAAGTTTTGTCTTCTTTGCTGGTGGCAATTCAGTGTGACTATTCAGAACAATTGGCTCTGGCACTGGTATGTTCAAGTCTTGATGTACCTCTGAAAACTGTCTGTTTTTGAATTGAGCAGTTTCCAGAATGCTATTCAAACTAACGATGGTTTCGGGAAAACCTTTAAGTACTAATTGTTCTGCTTGTTTCTTAACTTCTTCTTTATAATCCTGGACCTGTAAATGAAGTCTGGACTTTATCATTGAATGAGATGAATAAAAATATTGTAAACCTGATTAGAGTTGGCTTGGTTTGAACTATCAAATGAATAAGTTGAGGAGAACATAACAAATTTGTGTATTCTAGTTATTATTTATGATAGACAATCATAAATTCATTGAGACAGTTACTGTCAATTTCAGAAACATGGTTCACATAAAATTTGTAAAGTGTGCTTCTTTTATTGGAATATCAACAATTTCTATACAACTCATAAGGAATATAAGCGGTACGTACCTTTGCCGAATCTGCCATAATAATTTAGTAAAAAAAACTTCAAATTGCTTTCAAACCAAAAATGTGAGGAAACTATGAAATAGAAGCAAACTTAACCTAAAACTATTATGTTCCATTCAGATCGAACAAAGCGGTTCTATGAATGCGGTCAGCAGACAAGTTGGACACATTAGGGCACAGAATATCGGAACTGGTAGTTCCGATATTCTGTGATTAGGGTTAGAAATCCGGACCGTCCTGGAACCGTCAAAAGAAGTCACAGAATAGTTTTTCATGAGTTCATTCTCAACAGCTGTGTGACTATTTCAAACCGTCCTAGAATCGTCCCAACTGCGAATTCGAATACGCCTATGAATAAATACTTTATCATAAAAATATATATATATATTTATCAGTTAGGCGACTAAACAAACAATTTTCAAGAATTGATCCTTATACATAGCATAAACCCAAAAACCACCTCGTGGAAAAAAATCAAATTTATTTTTACCAATGGTTATTAATAGGTTTTTCATTCTGACTTCAAACTTTTAGGAAATTGATGTATCTACAAGATGTGCGGTTGAGGTACAGATCGGATTGAATTTTGGATTAATCGAGTTTAACTCGAAACTCTAGTAGTTCCTAGTTCGATACCAAGAACTGGGGCAATATTCTTGAATCATTCGTAGTTCTGAAATCGTTCGTGCTAACGCTTTCTCAAATCTCAAATGAATACGAATCTACGAATGTTAAGGGTACCAATTTCTCAAAAATCGTTCGATGTGGCGTCCCCTGGCATTTATAGTGTGAACTTATTCATAACAATTTTTGTTGGAAGAAATATTTTTTTTAACAACACATACTTTATCAAAGATTTAGATGAAGTTCAAGTTCTTGTGGAAAATCTCATCCCATTGTCAATGGAAAGAATGTAAAAATGTATAACTTTCATTATTCTTCACAAATGTATCTAGGTTTGTTACATATAATATATATTACCTACTAACTTGCTAGTTTTTTCAAAAGTAAAATTTTCATATTGATAGTCGATAAATAACTTATAAGTCAGTTCATTTCTTGAAATACCTAATATTGAATATAAACATCTGAATATTCATTTCATAACGTCACTTCATCAAAATTCAGTTCTTCCAAAAAATACAAATATTCGAAAGCATGCACGAATCTTCAACTCTTCGACACAGTTGTTTTTGGTTGATTCAATGTAATTCAAATAAAATATTTGAACTTGAATTTATTCTGAATTATCGATCCATTTGTATATTTTTCAATTTCTACTAGATGTTCTAACTGTTTTGTGGATGTAATAAAAACACTTTTTCCAATGACGTTTCCGTCAATAATAATTTGAAAACTATTCTCATTTTTCAACATCGAAAGAAAGTTGAACTAGAATGGATTTTTCCCTTAACCAATCAGAAACTTTTCTGCTCTTGTCCGAATACTGTTCGCAACGCTGCTCTATAGTCAAAAATAAAATTTTCTTCTACAATTATGTCTCACATTATAGTTTCTCTCTATATATTATTATAATTCACTCACGATCTGAAGGTCGTGGGATCGATTCCTGCCTCGACCAGATATTTTTCTCGAGAGAATTAATCTGGTTGAAGCTGGGATGATTTTGCAACCGTGTTAGGAATCACACGTTAAAAGGTACGACCTCGTTAGTCCTCAGCTCGCACAAGTTTCCTAACTTCTGAGAGTTGTCGTTCGTATGGGGGCGACAGCTGATAAAGGATAACGGGAAAAACAGATTTTTTAAACAGAATTCTAATCCAAATTTCATAATCTAGCCGAGTTCCTGAACTCAACAAAAAGATTTCAATGGATTGCCTGAACAAATAGAAATACGATATTTCGATTGTACTAACATCAGATGAAAACATCGGAGCAATCGAAAGACTCCCTGATGAACTCGATAACAGGCTATCTACTTTTCCGGTCCCAAAAGGTTCACCATCGCGCCGTCTGTCCAGCCATGTTACCAAACTTTTTACCCACTATCCACAACAATAACTCATAATTTTTTTGTTAAAAGGGTGAACTCTCCAAGTAACCGATGAACTTTTCCACTTCGCCTATTCTATCCTACCTCCACAGATTGCACATGTACAGGATTTGCATCTACTACTGAAAGTTTGTTGCTACAATCCAACGAATATTCTTAGTGCACATCGCGCGACGCTATGCATTTTGAGTAATAGTAGTACGGGAAGTTGCTGAAGGTTTTCTTTTTACTACTTGGGAGCCGCCTGACTTGTTCATTTTTTCCAAATGTCCGATTAACACTGCAGCCTCATAGGCTTATTGCATTTTCCTCCCATATTTTTCATGACACCCATTTCAACATTTTTTTATACTGGTTGGTACATGACTCTTGCTGGATGTAACGTCATATTCTCTTGGGCATAAGTGGAGTTCTTCATAAACTGTTTGCCTCCTGTGATCCAGTGCCTTACATTCGAATAAAATATGACAAACTATCTCTGCCCCTTTGTTTCATTTCTTACAGCTTCGGTCTTCATTGTACAGCTCTCTTTTGGACAGTATCCAGTTAGTGGATCTGTAATTATTCTGAGCCGATACTTGCCTTATTGAAATAGTTCTTGAGTTCTCTTTCCGGGTATGTTATCCCAGTACTATTTGAATTTCACACAGATCTATTTCTCAATCTCATTCCATACCAAAGATTTCGGTATTCCCACAGCTTATTAAGAGGCTATATTATGGAGTTAATGATCTGTGACTGGCACTCATCATCTTTTTCGTTGCCTGCTATATTCTGACATCCAGTATATAGTAAATCTATTTTTGTCTGCCAGTTTCTCCAGTTCTTCACGGTATTCCCAGACTAGTCTTGATATCACTTTTGGGTTTATCGGCGACCCAAGGACAACTTGCCTGCCTGTGAAAATATATTGATCCGACCATTTCGTTGAGGCCTCAAATTAATATTTCTTGCACATCGCAAGATTACATACACTTCAGCCGGGAAAACTGTTTTATCTTCGATTTTTTTTTAGCTCTTTCTAGATGTTGGTTCAAGGACAGCTCGAATCTAGTATTACTTCCAGATATTTGACTTCCCCCTTTTTTTTGAGGAAATATGTGGAAATATCTGCATAATTATTACTCATTAATGACTATTAAATGAAATGCCGGTAAAAGAAAATAATTCGCTCTCAGGTATTTTTTGTTGGATATTCAAAATTCTTGTGAAATATCGGTTTTATTAACGTTCATAATACGTAAATAAATATGACAATCCAAACTGATTTCAGATATTAAAAAAATCGACGAATCTCAAGAAAATTTGCTGTTAGACAAACATATAGAAAAAGATCCCATGTGTCTGTTTGAAAAATGGCATACCATCGCAAAAAATGATCCAAATGTAGTTGGAGCAAATCACGTGTCCTTTGCTACTGCAACGAAGTAAGTATATCGATACTCATCAAATGTACTTTTTTAACTATACAAACTCCAGGAAAGGAGGGGGGGCAGGCTGATAGAAAAAACTTTTTATACGAAACTGAAACATCACTTACAAAGTGGTCAAAAAAATTCCAATGAGATCGAACAGGCATGGGAACATACTGTAAAATTCTTGATCATGTTATTCGAGTCTTATCAGAAAATACGTGATTTGCTAAAATGTAAAAGTACTACTAGTGAATTTGGTCTTCGAAGAGTTATAAATTCGTCAAAAATGGGCTTGTTCAAAAAAGTAAATATCAAATCAGTTTGGTTTTCGAAGTAAACATATTTTTGAATTTCATTGTCGAAATATCTATAAAAAAACAAAAAAAATATTTTGAGGTTCAAGTAGGTATGTTATTTCTTTCCCTACATCTGAAAGGAATCTAAAACAAACACTTTTCCTAATCACCAGAAATGTAATTGGGTATAGTTATCGCTTTGGAATTATTCTACGCCAGGTTGTAGTTTTACCTTTCATCGAGAAGTGAGCTCAACATGATTAGTCATCGTGGCCCAGCAGGAACAGGTGAAAAATGATCGCGAATGTTCTACTAGGGAACAAATTATTACTTAATGAATATTTTTGAACTATCTGATCATTCACTTTGCAGAAAATTGAAAAAAACACCTCACGTAATTTATGGACGCCCCCCAACCAAGAAGAAAGTGACTGTACTATTCCAGAAATGTTCTAATGCCTTCGATTATTATATATGAAATTTCATTTATTCAGTTTTGCCTGAGTCGAAACAGCGTTGGCGACCGATACTAAACAAGTATATAAAACAATTAATATAGTGAAACTAACGAGAAAGTAATTACGACGAGATAGCAGCAATGACTCAACTTCCAGAACAATATCAGTTGATCCAAAAGTAGGAATCTAAAAAAGGAAGACAGAAAAGAAGAAGAAATCAAGAGAGATTTTGAAACTGATAGAATAATGAAAACTGAATAGGAAAAGTGAGTTCTAAGAACAAAAAATCATTGTAGACAAAAAACAGGAAAAACAACAAATAAGACAAGAACGAAATGATCAAGATAAAAAATAAATCCACCATATAAAACAACATGAGATGAAAGAAAAAGAAAAACAGTAACACCAAGAATCGAGAATATCACATAATATAGAAAAGCAGAGAACTTCTCAGAAATTGGTAGTGACGTCATAATATAGACTTGCCATTGAAGAGAGAACATTGCCTCCAACAACTGATGAAAGATGAAGAGATTCACGTCTTGGTATATAAGTCATTCATATAATTAACGTCAGATACAACGTCACTATGTTTTACGTGTTGCATATTTCCATCGTGAACATTTTGGGAATGGATTTGTCACATGGTGCTGTGACGTATGATTCGCAGGTGGTATATATAAAAGTGACGTCACGGCCAGTCCATATTATCATGTCTATGACTAGAGCAAGTTACGGAAGATTAGGAACGACGTTAGTTGTTATGAGGAAAACCAGTAAGTCGAGTTCCGTTTCCGATATGGTCGTGGACGGACGTGCCGATAGCGATCGTCCATAAATAAGGTACGCGGACACCATTGTTGGAGACGGAATTCATTTTTTGTTGTGAATGTCCGCCGTTTAATAACGAACCAGCAATCGTAAAAATAATAGTGTTAATAAAAATAGTTTTTTTTAAATGAATCGTACTCCGATTCACGCCGGTTGGAGGCCGGGGGACCAGATATCCATGTGGGAGTACTAAAGTG